TCTTTCTTCAACAACACTCACGACCTCATACTCATGATATCAATGGATTTACAAAGTCTTTCATTAAACGATTAGATTTATTAGTAATACTGTTATTAAGGAGTTATAACTTTCTTCCTCGACCTCATACCCATGATATCAATGGATTTACAAAGTCTTTCATTAAACGATTAGATTTATTAGTAATACTGTTATTAAGGAGTTATAACTTTCTTCCTCGACCTCATACCCATGATATCAATGGATTTACAAAGTCTTTCATTAAACGATTAGATTTATTAGTAATACTGTTATTAAGGAGTTATAACTTTCTTCCTCGACCTCATACCCATGATATCAATGGATTTACAAAGTCTTTCATTAAACGATTAGATTTATTAGTAATACTGTTATTAAGGAGTTATAACTTTCTTCCTCGACCTCATACCCATGATATCAATGGATTTACAAAGTCTTTCATTAAACGATTAGATTTATTAGTAATACTGTTATTAAGGAATTATAACTTTCTTCCTCGACCTCATACCCATGATATCAATGGATTTACAAAGTCTTTCATTAAACGATTAGATTTATTAGTAATACTGTTATTAAGGAGTTATAACTTTCTTCCTCGACCTCATACCCATGATATCAATGGATTTACAAAGTCTTTCATTAAACGATTAGATTTATTAGTAATACTGTTATTAAAGAGTTATAACTTTCTTCCTCGTCTTCACACTGTCACCCTGGCTAACTTTAAGAACTGATTCCCATATTTTATTGCACCAAAAAAAATGGTTTTCAAGCAGACTAACTGCCATGAATTAGCTAAACATATAATAATCATGGTTTCCAATACTCTACTATGAAAGATCAAGTAAATTATGTAAATTTGAAAATGAAATAAATTTGGATGTGATTAAGTGTATATGATCAAGTAGCTTAAGTTCATTATTATAAAAATTTTTTGAACAAATATTTTCAATGAAAGTATAAAATATTCTTATCAAGCTCCCTTGTGACTTAACATGTGTGCGGTCACACATGAATTCTTCTTCTTTTTTTAACAAAAACTAACGATCCAATTATAAATAAAGAAACCAACTTGATTTAAAGATAGTAAATGTAAAAAAATGTAAATTTTCAAAAAGTGAATAATTGAGTATGAAGAAATAATTAAAAATTCCAACTTGAAGTTACATTTATTGCTCTTTATCTAAAATAAACATGGAAAGCACATTACTAAGGAGGTGGAGGGTTAAACTATTCTTGTACAGGTTTATATTCTCTTTTTGAGAATATTAAACAATGTGTCCATTGTTTTGTACTCTGGCTCTACAACATTTATTAGACCTATTCAATATCTTCTTCAATGCTATATTACTCGCTCCTGCCGGAGTCCAGCGCCAATCCCTATCGATGGAAACAAGCCGCATGGGATTTGCATTTCTATACGGTTAGACAAAGTTACATTTTGAGCCGCTGCCGGAAGTCGCCGATCTAGGTTGCTTTTAATACCAACCGTATCATCGAGTGGTGTTAAAAGCAACCTAGGGATCCAGGATCGGCCACTTCCGCGCAAAACATTTCAAATATCGGGGAGATGTGAGTTACAAAGGACTACCCAGCCAAGACTATATAAACCTTTGAAGCTTTTTTCTTTTCCGTCATTCTTGCGGGAGAGTAGTCCGGGGCCAAGTCCAATCCCCACTTACTACTCCCCACCATTCCACCTCGGGATCTGTTTTCAAGACTTGAGGACATTCAGGTGTTCTAGTGTTGTTAGTTTTACACGAATTTGCTGTCACCATTCGGCGTCTTTGGCCTCGCTCGTGTGAGAATGTGTTTGTGAGAGTTTGATTGTATGTGCATATGAATGGTGACAGCAAATTCGTTGACGAGAAATCGTAATTAGAGGAGAGCTCGTTCGCCATCGAGATCTCGCACGATTCCTGAGCGAGGGGTTTTGATCTCGTGGGCGGAAATGGGCGGAGGCGGAGAGGGATCGGGGATCATGTCTCCCCAACGCGAGACGCAAGGGGGAGAGGAGAGGGCACCGACAGCCACGGAGATGGTTTCTGAAGAAATTTCAGCCGTTTCAAAGATTCAAGTTCAAAGATGAAATGTGATTTTAACTTTGAATTTGAGTTTCAAAACTCAAATTCAAAGTAAAAATTCTATCTCATCCGTTGACAGAGTGATTTGAACGGCTATCATCGGGTTCATGCACAACGGGACCTTGATTGAGATCGGTACTCACGAAGAGGTGTTAGAATTGGGCGAAAGAGATACCCACGCAGGGTTGCTGAGGTTACAAGAGGCAGGCTACTACGCACAAGGAGGGAGTCTAGTTCCAGGATTCAAACAGCAATTGAAAGTTGGGTAAGTTCTTCACTCTGTGCTCCGTGAATTAGTTCAGTGTTCGTTTGGATGAGATTACATCCCAGCATGTCAGTCTACTACCGGTGGTCGTACTGGCATGGACTCCTTTCTTATAGTTTTCCTGTTTGACACTGACGGTCGCTGACCATTGTCAAAAGGAGCAATTTGTCAATTCTGTCATGATAGAGCCTTGCTGGTTCGTTGTTGATATCAGAAGAACTATTAAACTCAGCCATGTGTCCCGGAACCATGTGCCGCTCGATCCGACTCATCGACGATCCGTGGGCCTCAAAATTCGTCACACCTCGAATCAGCTCGTAGCCAGAAATTGAGGGAGCTCCTGGTCTATGGACTCTGAGCAGTCGACCGGATCTTCAAGTGTCCATTCGCCGTGAGATAACTCTGCACAACACTCGGCTAAAATTGGGAGGTGTCGATCTATCTTGAGCCCAAATTGACAGGGTGCGCGAAACTCCTCCCTCGGGTCATAGTCAGAGGCTGCGGGCCACGGGCCACGGACCACGGACCACGGGACGGTGTACCACTTGGGAACACCTCATGGAGTTGTTCTCACGCTAAACCGCAAGCCTTGGGACCGACGGAGCGTCTGTCCGGTCCTGCTCAGGTAGAGACAGAGCGGCATTGGCCTGTTTGGGTACATCCGGCTGGAGTTCCCAAGCAAGAGACTCAGATCGGTACGTCAATCATTACAGCCTCCCTGCTTCGAGTCCCAGCCAAGGGACGGAGCCGCGTCCGAGCCTCGGAACCGAATGTTGTCATCCACTGCGAATCGCGTCCCGTACGAGGTCGCACCCTCCTACCCTACGAGGTGGGGTGAGATCGTGATGGGGGATGAACGGAACAAGGAACGGAAGCGACAAAGATGTGCCTCGAACGTCGACCGAGAGATTAAGACCGAACGGCGGAGCGAGCGAGAGAATATCCCGCGAATCGACCGGAGAGGAGAGGGGGCCAGCGTGGGCTCCACCGGCGGGTGGCAGTGCTCAGAACCTGCAGTACAAGGGAAATCGTACGCCATCGAGATCTCACACGATTCCTGAGCGAGGGGTTTTGATCTCGTGACCGGAAATGGGCGGAGGCGGAGAGGGATCGGGGATCATGTCCTTCCAACGCGAGACGCAAGGGGGAGAGGAGAGGGCACTGACGGCCACGGAGATGGTGCTATTGGAAGATTGGGAAGACGGCGGAGCACGAATTTCTGCTGAACAGAGGCTGGCGACAGGCATTTTTCGCGCGAGGGGACAGGGGACAGGGGTCGTCCCCTCCCCCGAACCGTCTCTAACCCCCCTTCCGGAGGAAGGGGGCTTAGAGACGTTCTCCCTTGCCCCTCTCATGGGGCAAAGGAGAACGGGTGAGAGGGGCTTTCATGGCCCCTCTCCCCCTCTCTGAGCTTAGCTCCCACCCTTTTTGAGAGTAGGAGCGACCGAGCATGGCTTTCACGATATAGACCAGGAGGCATTCTTGGACGATCCAATCTGTTCTTCGGGCACAACTCGATGAAATCATCGAGCTTAGCTTTTTGTTCACCTTCGCTCTCGGACTGGAACATGGACTTCGCTCTGAGAAAACCTATCCAGTAATTGCGCCCCTGCCATTCCTCGATCGACTGCCTGACCGGAATTTTTGGCCTCAGTGTCATATCGCTCAGTCACTCAGGAGGAACTGAGCGATATGTCTCAGTGTCATATCGGTCGTGTTTCCTTCTGCGAACCACGCTGTTATCGATGCCCGCTCGCTGTTACTAGAATGACCGGATCCACAACTAGCTCCTTCGTCAGAGGGCACATGAATGACTTCAGCGGCAGGATGAGCTTCGTGGTGTTGAAAGTGTTTCTTATGCTCCTAACCCTTCCCCAATACGTCTGATTAGAAGGGTCGGGAAGGTAGGAAGAATCAAGTCGCTTCCTCCTCGCGCTCCTTCCTCAATGCGGCCTCTTCCTTCTCTCGTTTGAAGCTCGTCAGCCTAAACACTAACCTCTTCGCCAAAGGTTAGTGTTTCAGGCTCGCATCGACCGGTGTGGGAGTGTGAACGAACAATGAAGACAACCAGAAGGACGACTTCTCTCTCTCCTTGCGCGAATTCTGATCTGATCTCCCGTCACATCGACCAGTGCGAGAATGGAAACGAATGATGAACCTGCGTGTGATTTTATACTATCAATTTGGAGTTGGTGTAAGTGAAAACCCGGGAATAGTTTGAAATGTCATAACCGAATCCGTTATGCCATTTTAAAATTATTCCCACGTTTTACAAGTAATAAAATTCCCGCGGTCTATATGCCTGATTTGAACCAACTCTAATTAGAGTTGGTTCAAATTAGAGTTGAACCAACTCTATCTCTAATAATTAACTTCAATTACCGTTACCGTTCAATTACTGTTTGAGCCGCTGGTACACTTTACTCATTTTTTTCATTCTCTCCTCCACACTTGTCCCAGTTGTGCACCTGAAACTGTCATTCTCTTCGATCAACTCAATAACCTTCGAGTCTCAAGCCATCCTCTTCAACGATTCATGTGAAGTACTGACTCTTCAGGCGTTCGACTTGACCTCGAACTCTGCACACGATTACTAGATTGTCCACGATTATTGCCCGGTAAGACGATTTGCATGATCAGGAAAGTGAAATGTAGCGCGTTCTTACGTGCTTTTGGCGCCTGGCTCTCATCCATTTCGATTCTTCCTCCGGATTCGGCTGAAGCTAGAGGCCATCAAACTTGTCGACGGTGCAGAACATGGTTGTGAGCTATGTGCAGATGTCGAGAGAATGGACGTCTAAAGTGGTCCGATTTCTAGATGCTGGAGGCGGAAGGTGGACTCAAGATGCTGCAGGCAGAATTCGGAGCGGCCTCATCATGTCATGGTCCTCGTGGTCCAGGTTGTGACAGTGCCATACGTAACCGGGGAACGTGGTGGGATCGAACGTGTAATTGCGGCCAGTCTCTGGGCGCGAAATTCATCAGAATTCTGAGTCTCGTGCCCGGGTAGACGACCACGGTGTCCTTCCAGCCGACTTGAGTGGCGTCCGGAGGCTGCGGGGCCTCAGTGTAGCAGCTGAGGGACTCCGGATATGACAGCAGGAGCGAACACAGGCCACCGTTAAACCGAGTCAGATCGAACGCCTGCTGATGCAACACGAGGAAGTTGATGAGATGAATGTGGATCGGATGAATGCCGCCCGGAATGAGGTGAATGATATCCCAAATCTCGGTCGTGTAAAGCTTCGGCGTCTCGGTGACAGGATCATCCCAGTGATTCTTATTCAGCAGAAACGTCAGGTCCGGCGGCAGAACCACATCCAAGGTCACATTTCTGTACACCGCCGAGTCTATCCAGGCGGCGGTGCTAGGGCGGACCCGATGGAAGTAGGAATGACCACACTCTGCGCAGGCAACCCGGGTATGGACTGAACGACATTGAATTTCATGACGTGCCTGGTGCTGGGAGGACTATTGATCGGGTCCCCATCAGGAAACGGGGCCGGAGCAGTATTGTTCAGATACACCGTCGTCCCGACGGGAACGCTTGAGAAGTCCACGAGGACGTCGACTCTGTAAGCAGGAGCCATGGTCAGATTCTGCAGCAGCTGGGGAGCCCACATGTAGCCGCCGTCCGTGCCGATCTGCACGAACTGGAGGCGGCTGTCGCTGAACGAGAGAGTGAAGGCTCGAGCGTTGGCCGCGTTCAGAATGCGGAAGCGGTACACGGCCCCGACCACGTCGAGGAAGGGCCAGGCTTTGCCGTTCACCAGAATCGTGTCGCCGAAATAATCCGGGCACCACTGCGGGTGCGCGGGCGACAGCGGCGACCCGAGGTCCGGGAAGTTGATGGACCCGTTGGGGTAGAACTGCTTGTCCTGGATGACCAGCGGGATCTCGTACCGTCCTTCGGGCAGAGAACCGGGCTCGCCGGATCCCCCGCGGATGAAGTACAGCCCGGCCAGCCCGGATACCACGTTGAGCCGAGTGTAGCCCAGAGTGTGGTCGTGGTACCAGAGAAGGCTCGCCGGCTGCTCGTTCGGGTACGTGTTGTTCGTGGCGATGAAGGTCGGGCCCTTGTCGCCGGCCGCCGTGAACCAGGCCTCCGGGTGCCCGTCGAACTTGCCCTCGGCGTCGGCGCCGTGCAGGTGCACGCTCATCGGCACGCCTCCGTTCGCTGGCGTCGCTCTGTGCAGCGTCTTGTCCACGGTCAGAATGTGCTCCGCGTCGGTGATGTGATTCTCGAACCGAATGAACGAGGCCACATTCCTCCTGGCGTTCAGAGTCGGGCCCGGAGATGTGGCTGTGTCTTGACTCGTCCCGTATCCGTAGAATGTCGTGTTCGGAAGGTCTGGATGGACGCTCTGTAATTGCACACAGCAGCCGCGGGTTAAATTCTGTTCGGATCAATTTACGAAACTCAATCCACGCAACCCGTGACTGGTATTCAATTCTCGGATTCTCGAGAATTCTGCTGCAATCTCAGACTACTATTGGCCAGTCTAAGAATTTCGTAACAGCGCTCATTTGCAAGAATTGTACGACTTTTGCAAGCATGCAGTCGTGCAGAAAGTATTCATCTGATAACATGTCCCCATCTGGAAATCAGCTCCGATTATGCATCCTCTGATGAGAGAGAACGCATGCCTCACTGTACTTGACAAACATAAAACTGGCTCTATCGGAATCCCCTCCGGTACAAGTGAACCATTCAGCTGCATGGACCTTCCACTGTTGTACTTCAGCTGAGTGTTTTGTACCCGGGGTTTCTGGCATAAAGCAGTGCACGCTAAAACTCTGAGAATCCGTACCTGGGAAATCTTGTAAGCACCCAAAGTCAGCTGAGACCCTGTGGAGATGTCGATTTCCACAGGTATAGGCAGTGGCTGCACGAATGGTGTCAGAGTAGGTGACGGAGTCAAGTTTCCGCACCGGGAGTGAACATCCTGAGCCTGAATCACTGATAGTGAGTACAACACCCCGAGAAGACAGGCAAGCTTCAGATGAGAAGCATGGCTAAATCTGAGAGCTGGAGCCTCGGTTCGTCTCGGATTCGTCCCCATGACGGTGATGATTTTGGAACTGCACGTCGAACTGGAATTGAATTGACCACGTGGATTTCACAATGTCTATGTGAATCGTACTCCAGGGTGTACAACTCTGAGTGAGGTAGAAGCTCATCGAATGTCCTTATAAAGGCTCACTCTCATGTTCTCTAGATCGTGCGAGAACGCTCCTACTCTAACCCTCGAAGCAACCGGGATCGTTCTGCAGAAACAGCTGACAGAATTTACTTTTTTCCACTTTTCATGACACAGACCGCAGCGTGGACCACCGGTGCTTGCTCGCCTTGAGAGAATAATTCTTACAAAGTCGAAACAGGATCATGAAAGGGTGCTAGAAAGGAGGAATCCGAACAGACTGACCAACGGTGGATTCTACCTTGCGGAGTCTACTATGACCCTCGCACATAACGATACTTATCTCTAATACGTTTTGAGAGAAATAGTAAAGTCTCTGGATTGTCTCATCAATTGTCTCTGGATCTGGGCTTCCATGCCTCGGAAATCCGAACCCAGAAGTGGGACTCTTCGTGGAGTCTGGCTTCTGCAGTACTCAGCGGTGGTAGATATTGCTTGCATGGACACGCCTGCCTAACTTGAAGCGTCTGAGCTAGGCCTGTATACCAAAGTTTGGACCATATATGTTCTTTTCCAATTATTAGATAAATGTGCCCTTGTCGGACTAGATTATGAGATTGCCATCTTACAGTAGTCTCATGTGGGTCTTTGAAGTGAACTGGAAATACTCCAGTCGACGAGTCCGTGATTAGTGTAGAGAGATTATTTCGATAACTTTATCATCAGATCTCTTGACAAAGTACTTTTTATCTGGTTTTACTGCGTTCCGGCCGAGGTCCCTGCTTCTTGTGTGACGTAATTATGTGTCTCCATGTACGACAGAAAGCATGTGAATGCGTTATCGGTTTGCAAATTCTGAAAACTCATGCAAAAAATCGGGAATCAGGTGGCAGCGACATTTTAGTCCAGCTCAATTCTTTGAGAGGTGACGTAGTAAAATTGTGTGACTTTCAATTGAGAAACTTTTTACGTTATTCGTGCGTGAATAGTCTAAAATTCAGATTGAACTATGCTGCCTTTGCACCCGCCTTTGGGTGAGGGCACATCAAGAGACAAGCAATCTCATCATTATCTCATCATGGAGCTCGCCTTCACGGCCAAAGTCCCTATATTTTTTGGACAAATGACCTTTTGGGTCCCCTGATCTTACTTCATTACATTCCACTGATTCCATGAACCATATCTGCTCCCTCCACCCATTTCTTGGAATGATGTTCTTACATCTAATAGTCCCATGAATGTACATACAAGAACTGCCTGACTGCATTTGCAGTTGAAGTTGACTCGTTCTCTTAAAGCTGAATCAGTTCAATCTGAATAATCAAGTCCACATTATAACTCCTGAACTAAGTTGATCCATTCATAAGCCAACACAAAGTGGACCACAGCTGCCTCTTGACGGTGCGAATTCGCGCGAATCCGGTATGGAGAATAAAGAATCTGGTAGACATCCCGCAATGACTGGACTTCCAGAACCAGAACGGCAACAGGCGACTGCCATCTCTAATGTTGTGTGCCTCGTGTAATATTGAGGATAGAACGTTTCAGACTTATCAGCGAACGAAGAAGTCAAAGCTTAATTCGTGAGCAGCTGCTACTACTTTTATCCCACAGGTCCTTCGTATGTGAACTGCTCAGACAAAATCTAAGCTTCTGGCTGGGATGAAATTCTTCAAAGTGAAATCATCGGAATGTGTCCGGAGAATCTTCCCTGCTGACTATACGCGTATATGAAGTGCTGACAATCAGCCGCATTACTGCGCCCCATTAAAAAACGTGTCGACGACTTTTAAGGTCATTTTAAGGTCCTCAGATTGAAACATCTTGGAAGCATGCTAGTCGGGGAATAGTGGCCCTATAATCTGAAATATAGTGCCTGTACTGAAATCGCTAGATATGTGAGTCTTCCAAGTTCTCCAACTCAGTGAAAGTTTTGTCTCATTTTTCGTGACACGCATGTCTCCGGACGCTTGCTCAGGAAAGACTCAACCCAAGCTCTTTGGTGGTCAAATCCGGTCTGACCAAGAAGGTCCCGTTTATTCTGTAAAAGACTTGGTCTCCATCTAGAGAAATTTCTTTTCATTCAAAGTGGGGCCAGTATCCACTTGTCTCGCTGTTGTTGGAGACTGTATGTCATTGAGTATAGAGAACGCATGTCTTCAGACCGGAAAGCTTCAGCAGTCTTTAACCAGAACTTCATACGATCAGAATATTTTCTTAAGAGTTCAGTCGACATGGTGAAGCAGATCCTCTAACCTGAGCTTTGGGAAACTCAATCATTTGACGTATGCGTAGTTCAAACTGATTGACGCTATGATGAATTTTCTTCTCGTGTACGATTGAATTTAATGCACATCCTTTTTTGATCATTGCCAAGTCAACTTCAAAGGCCCTTTTGGTCTGCATGACATGTGCCTGTAATTAAGCCATGACATGTGCCTTAATTGAGCTTTAACGTTCGTATGCTGATCCTAAGCTGCATGAATTTGATTTGAAGCTTAGTATGTCGGAAGGTGTGTAACAAACTTATATTCTTACGCCTGTTGCGTCTGGCTCTTGAAACGTCGAGGAGTGTAATTGTTGCCAATGAGTCGGCACTGAATGTAAAGTATACCATAAAGATCACTGCGCTGACGTCAACTCCCTTCCAATACGACGAATTGAGAGTGAACAGCATGTCCGAGGCTGGACAGCTGACAAATTGTCCAGGCCTGACCTGACATTGATATGAGACGTTTCTCAGGAAGACTCATGCGCTCGTGGATTGCTCTGAACATTGCGCCGTTTTTCTTCACACAATGATTTGACCTCCAGCTAGTCCTGTACTGATTGGCACTTAAACGATCAGGAACTGCGCTTGGCTGAAGTTCCTGGAGAACGGTATGTACCATAAGACTTCTCCAGATGGTTGAAGAGCAGGAGATAGAGCTGCGAGATAGACACTGGGCTTGAGTACAGGAGGATGATATTCGACAGCAACGGCATGCAGTAAGACTTGATAGTCGTCCCCTAGTGGAGGATATCACCCTGCCATGTTGATCTGAGATACACGCCAAGAACTGTGATGTGTCGGGCACGAAATCTCAGGATCTACGTTAGGTCTACAACTCGCCATACCTTGACAGACCATGCCCAATTGGCTCATAGACTTGAAGGTTGTCACGAAGTAATAAGGGTTACAAAGTCAGCGTGGCTCTCCAGGTCACGATCTCCAGTCTCCAATTTCATCTAGTATGATGAGAAGGATGAATTCTGTGCCTTGTGTGCATGTATCGGCTGGAGCTTTCAGAGAAGCGTGGAGCCTCCCATGCAGCTAAACGACTCTGAAACATTCGTTGCAACTCTGAAGGATTGAATCCTCAGCCTTGCATTCTGCGACCCCAATTGCTCACGTGGGGTTGACGGCCGATTCAATATAGGCTGCTGCTGGACGTTCAGTAGACCTGCCGTGCAATTTTCCACATGCACTTTCCAGAGACCTGGGCAAGGAACCCAAGTCTCTGAAGGTCAAACCCAACAGAATGTCTTCCATTCCTACCTGTCATACTTTGCAGAGTCCTCGTCGAATCTTATACAGCAAGTTGAGAGAACGGCGTGATGTCATCGTGCGCCATTTCTTGTGCATTTTGGATTGTGAAGTTCTTGCAGTGGACAACTTGCCACTCAGAGCCACAAGAAGTTTCGGCTGAATGGGATGCCAAATCGGGAAGTCGGAAGGCAAGGTCGCCCGGCCTGCTTACGAAGACCAGGGTTCTTGCAATAAGGTCTGGAGGGCAGGAAAGTGTCATAGTCTATGGGATGTGAGCTGTGTCCATTAACGCCAATGTTAGTTTTGCTTATCAGCAAAAGTAACTCTTCGATCAGCAGCCGTCAGTACTTGACATCAGGTATTTTAACTTACTGAGCCATTTACAACGCAACAAGGTTGTGTATGGTGCACATCTCTCTCCGCACTGCGCCGCTAGCCTCACCCCACCTCGAGAGTACTCCATCTGTTTTGGCTGCTAGTCCTGGACACCACGAGCTCTCACATGCATTCATCGTCAGAAACGAGTTGGGCGAAATCGGGAGGATTACATGTTATTTCTCAAGCTGCTGAAACAAAGCCAAAGTGCCCAGCGCAAGAGACATGTGATGCTGGACAAGAACCATTTTCATCCATTTGCCCGCAGATCTGGTTTCAAATGATAACAGAGAAGCCGTGATAGAAGCTGCCATGTCCGAAGTCTGACGTACCGTCCAAGCAATCCATATCTTACGTTTCTGCGATGAACTTGTTTCTAGTGGCTTGGATACTTAACAAAATCCCGAGTGCCTGGTTATATCATGTCCAAAATGGGGGATTTGAAAGCTCTCTGAACCGACCACGTGCACCTGTATTTCAAATTCACGCCATGTACAGACGTGAATGGACTGAATTTCCCAGAATCCAGACATCCGTATTAGGAACCCTGAGGCTCAACCTCCGCAAGTTTTCTTCTCGCCAGGAGGTACAGCACAGCGAATGACAGCTTGAATGGTAAAGTTGTCGGGGTTTGGACCAGCTGCCGAAGCAATCATGATATTTTCCGACCAATGTCAGTATGACACCTGAGCTGCTCGAGCTCTCACGTCAGTTAGCCGTCTTCTTCTTCTTCTTCTTCTTCTTAAGGAGCTCACCAGCCTCGCTTGGTATTCAAGGCACCTCTGTCAAATCTCTAAAAGAAGGATTGCGTCGACAGCTGCTGCTCTCAAACAAAGCGATCGGAGAACCGGCAAACTATCTAAATTTCCTTGAGAGTAAGAAAGTGGAATCAGCAGACGGTCTATCGAGCTTGTCATCAGTGAGTGAAGGGCCTTCGGATAAGAACCAAGCAAGACTGCTGCAGAGAGAGGCGCTGGATTCGCTCAAAGTCTACTCCATATCCTTCGCTCACAGTCTACTCCATGAATTTTATGCTCGGATTCTGTCAAAGTCTACTCCATATCTGAGCACCTCCAAAATCGGCTGAGCCTCTTAGTTTCCACATCA